TTATTAAATGAATAATAACAAATATCAATATTTTCATATATACAAATCAATTATCAGCAGTAATTGCTATTGTCTAAACCTTGTTCATTAACTTTTCTACATTTCTTCTGGCTCATTTACAGGTATGTGGCCTAGACCTTGAGCAAAAGCGAACGACGCCATTGTAATTGGGTTACTTAACATGTAAGTCAGCAGAAACGTACTACAAATTTAATTAGGCTGAAGTGTTTAGTGTGTCTTATGTGGCAATGTTGATTTTGTGTTGGGTATATCGGGCGGGCAATGCAAATGCATTCGACTTTTCCAATTGCGTCATGTGTAATGCGCGCTCCGCAGAGCTAACCAATCAATTAATGGCCAAATCACATAATGCATGTAAACGATAATGAAAACGACATTTGCCAGAGCAACACGCCAACTAACAAGAGCAACAATGAGCGCAATTACAATAACAACAACAACAACAACAGCAACAGCAAAAACAACGGATGCAAATACATTCCGTCGAGCCAGAAGGGAGCGCATACAGAGAAAAAACTTAATTAATGAAATTAAGCTTGCAAAAGCGCGTGTGTCTGTGTGTGTGTGTGTGTGTGAGTGTTTAAGTATGCGTTGATTGCATAACTATGTACCCACACAGACGGTATATATGCCTATATGTGTATGTATGTATGTATATGTGGTCTGTATATGTTTTACTCTAGGGTAACTACGCCTCGAATAGTTACGGCCCATAAGCCCGTGCATTTCATTTCATTTCATTGCGGACCGTGCTGTGCATGCTTATGCCAGAAGACAATCGATTAGAATCGCACCTGCGCCGGCCTCGCTCCAGCTCACATTTTAGTGTGCTGGGCGTAGTGGGCGTGGCGCTTTGTTACTATTCTGACATGTTGGCCGTGTCAGTTCCGTGCCGTTCGATGACTGTCGCTCATTATCCGCATTAATGTCGTACTCATTTGTTGTTGTTGTTGTAGCCTTTGACATGGCCCATGCAAGTGATTGCGTCGCATTTAAGCGCCCCAGATTGGGCGCCAGAATTATTGAAATTAGACATGACAATACACTACTGATCAAAATTTAAAATGAATTATTAATAACAAATAAATTGAACAAATTTAAACAGCTAATAAATTAATTATACTCATTTTTAAACTTTTATAATAATTTCATAAATCAATTATAATAATAATTATTATTTTAAAACTAATTAAATTCATTTATTAAATTAATTATATT